TACGTGTAATTCAGGTACTCATTTATATTTTAGGGTGTCCGATAACTCAGGGGGTAGAAAAAACTCTAGAAACATAAAAGATTTTTCTTTCTGAGGTACAAAACCCTAAAAACGTTTAAGAAATTAGGCGTGATACGTTTTCACTTTTAGAACTACATCTACTTATTATGAACTTATTTGGTTTTTTAGTAAACTTAATACCAATGCATACTGTTTGTAAGCCTGACAAAAACAGTACATTTGTTTCTAAAGAAATCAGCACGCAATTTTGGGTTGTAATTTCTAGTTCGTCGTAATCGCAATTGTCGTAGCTCATACATATAATTATTAGACGCCAGAGTGCCACACCTGTTTCGTATTTTCTACATTAAATTAAATAGCATAACTGTTACTTTTATAGTAAATAATATTTTATAATAAACAAGTACCACAATATATTTCGGTAATTTTACAATTCAGTAACTGCAAGGTATGTACTTGTTATAACTGTTTCAACACCTTTAATAAAATAACTAACCCATTTTTGATCCTTAAAACTAGACGAAGTAATGTCTACCTATTCATAACTAATGCATTCTTACGAATAAATTATTCGGTTGTTCACAAGATATGTTGTTAATTAGTAAAACAAATTAGCAAACGGTCTACGTGTAAACTTGATAAATTATTGATTATATATTTATTAGTTAAATTTTCATTAGCTTTTTCTACTGCTCGTCGGGAAACTAAGCTAGATATAGGAGAAAAATGTAAAGCATAAAATTTCTATAAGAAAGTTTGGGAAAGCAGCTATGTAAAATTAAAAGTTTAAACAATAGGACGGTCTAAAGTTTGAAGCTCGTAATTAACAATTATTTTTAGAAGTAGATATAAAAAATCATGCTTTCTTTCGGTTAAAGGAAGTTATGAATTTTAGATTTTTTATTATTCATTTAATGACATAAATCAAAGATTAAGCCTAATTCCTTATTAAGTATTTAGTTGTCCACTTTCTCTAACGAAATATATACATGTAGGGTAATAAGAAGATTTTGATGGACACTGACGATATTATTGAGAATATTTCTGCATTTCTGCGACGTTTCGTTTGAACTTCCATCATCCTCATTAATATCCAACAAATACAAAAAACTATAATACAGGATTTAATTTTACATCTGAGATAGATGCAGTGGTAACAGTGACATTAAACAAAGTCAGAATTTCCCGGAAAAGTTTGTGAGAATTTTTGTTTCGTGAATTACAACGCTTTCTCCTGTTTTTTTACGTAAAACGAAAAACACAGTAGGCACAATGAGTTTTGCATAACAATTTATAGATATATTCAATCGCTTGTATAATAGTAACCCATTGTTTCTAGCGTTAATGGAGGAAAAATGATCTCTTTAGATTTCCGACCGGAAAATGTAAAATTAACGATTAAAAGCTTTTTACTGCCACGCTTGCTAAATTTGATCCACTAAACAGGAAATCTTGAGTGTTATTTTAGAATAAAATTTTAAAGAATAAATAGCAAAGACAGCCAATCCGAATTGGTCGTGAGCCCGTGCATTTTTTGTCTATTTGAATATAAAATATTGAACATTAGCTATAAAAGTAGTTGCACGTAATATTAAAATTTCGTCGTTAGGTATTGGAGATTTCAACGATAGGCTAAGACAGTAAATTCTAGCCTAAGTGTAATTCAGATACTATTCCAATTGAATTATCGTTTATTTTAATATTTTATGATGTTTATTGTTTTATATTTCCTTAAATTCATGGGAAAATGTTGAATAGTAACTACAAAAAACGGAAATTTTGTGGTATTTTACACTCAACATTAAAATATGTCGTTAGTTATTGGAGATATGCTAGGCTAAGACAATAACTTCTAGCCTAAGTGTAATTCAGGTAATATTTCATTTTAGAAAAAAAAAGTAATAAACATATTTCAATTAAAAGAAGATCTATGATTTATTGTAAGTATACTGGAATATTTTAACTATGATTTAACTAAAATTTGTGGAGATCGAAGATAAATCTAAAGCTTTAATTGTTTGCGAAATAATAATTACAAAGACACGGTTACAACCTGGAAGTCAAAAGTCGAATTTACACCCTAAAAATTTTAATTAATTGTTTTAGATGTTAAGTTACCATATCTATAAAGAGTGTATTACAAAATTTCAATTTAAATATAATAAAAAGAACAACCAAAGGATTTACGATTAATAAAATTTATTGGTAAATATGAATGTAAGAACGTAGCAATTAACGGTATTAGGCATATAATAAAAAATTTTATTAGCCAGGTAGTACACAAACCAATGTAGGTACGTATTTTTAAATGCTTTTCAGTTGACACCCAATAAGTAAAAGTAAAAGGATCGAATTCAGACCTATATGAAAAAAATCATCCAAGTGTAATACCCATGTCTATTTATGCCTATCACGTTTCTAGATTACCTAGATTCCATTGCAGGAAAATGTTTATTAGAGAGTGTCTCCAGTCTGTATTGTATTAACCCATACAAGTACCTAGTGTCTGTTCCTTGTACGTGAATATTTTATTCTAGCGTGATTTACATAATACATAAGTACATATTGTACGTATATTTACTCTGTGTTCTGTTATGCTCCAAACAAGTGAGCATTAGGTACCGAAAACAATGACAAGCCTATCATGATGATTCATATTTACATTATTCTAGCATTTATTTGTTTACGTTCGGTCCATTAAGTACTAATGAAAAATTGTATAATTTATCACGAATTCGTCAGTTGGTCGTGGTTGCTGTTGTCACCTCTCGTAGTTTAGTGGTCAGAACATTGGTGCGTAAAGCCAAACGGCCCGGGTTCGATTCCCGGCGGGGGTGTGAGAACAGCAACAATTTATCCCTCAGTAATTTGAGGTAGTGTGTAGTGGATAAAAAATTCAAAAATTGAATTTTCAGAATAATATTTCATATAACGAATTCTTTGCTGTACAATTAAAAACTTGAGCATCCACCTGCCACACCCACACCGAAAAAAATATTGCTAATTACAAATAAAATTATCATTGTAAGTTATGGTAATTATCACCTTATTTCTTTGAAAAAAGTACTAAAGGGTATCTTGTCGCGTATATTATGAAGATCTATATCACTGAAAAACAATTTGGTAACAATCTTCGCTTTATATCCTCTATCACTTTTTTCATTCTGATATCGAAAATTGGTGGCTTCTTCTAACTTTTTGTCATATATGCTTAGGGTTCATCATCATAAGGTCGTCAATCCTAAGACTGATTGGACAAAAAAAAACTTTTGGGTATTTCATTCCCACCAGCCAGTAATTCTGGTGGGCGAGCAGTCCCTCCGGACTACGCCGGAAGGCAGGGCGAAAGGCCCTCTTCAGCCTGCTTTCAGGAATCGTGGGAATGGGTGGGAGGTGGTTCGGGTGAGAAAGTTGAGACGGACGAAATGAAGACAGAAGAGAATGAAAGATTATCTGTGGAATATTACTGCCCCAGCATTTGCCTAAGTGATCCAAGGAAACCACAGAAAAACTTGGATCCGGAATTGATTGGACACGCACCTCCACTCTTTCCTATCCTGAACTAATCTTCGCATTCCCCTAAATCTAGAACATCCCACATCCTTAACTATTTGCGAACAGTAATGCAATTTAGGTCTACCTCTACTCCTCTTAACTTCTGTTTCTGCCTGTAATATGTCTCTGATTAGACCGTCATGCCTGATAAGGTGTTCTACCAACCTATCTCGCCTATTTTTTATTGACTTCCATAGAGTCCTCTGTTCTCTTACTCTTTCTAATACCTCTTCATTTCTAACCTTCTCTATCCACGGTATCCTAATCATTCGCCAATGATACCACATTTCTAACGCTTCTAACCTTTTCTTTTCCGCTGCGCTCACCGTCCATGTTTCGCACCCTTACAGGGCCGCGCTCCAAACATACACCTTTAATAATCTTTCTCACCAACTAAAAATTTTAAGTCCGGAGATCGTTCTAATAAGTCTGGAGCTATCAATTTAATAAATATATTAATGTACAAATCGTTTTGGATAGCTAAAAGGTAATCAACCAGTAGGTTAATTAATTGATTTATTTAAATGTTTTAAATAATACAAACTCAAGGATTAGGAGGTAGCAACTACATTGTCGGTGACATTCAATATGAACATTGCCGATAAAGGAATAATAAAATTTTATTTGTCATAAANCACATTTCGAACGCTTCTAACCTTTTCTTTTCCAGAGCGCTCACCGTCCATGTTTCGCACCCTTACAGGGCCGCGCTCCAAACATACACCTTTAATAATCTTTCTCACCAACTAAAAATTTTAAGTCCGGAGATCGTTCTAATAAGTCTGGAGCTATCAATTTAATAAATATATTAATGTACAAATCGTTTTGGATAGCTAAAAGGTAATCAACCAGTAGGTTAATTAATTAATTTATTTAAATGTTTTAAATAATACAAACTCAAGGATTAGGAGGTAGCAACTACATTGTCGGTGACATTCAATATGAACATTGCCGATAAAGGAATAATAAAATTTTATTTGTCATAAACTGAGGTCTGGAGTTTCCGGACCAAAACTGGAAACTATAATAAACCTACATAAACCTGCAGTTAAATATCTTAAACAATACAATATTTAATATATTGGTCTTCAAATAGTAAATTGCAGAGAAATTTAGTCACGGTTTCTACTCCACGACAGAATACTTTAACTTGCTCTAATAAATTACTCGAATAAAGTCATTTGTGTGATAGTCCATCTCATTATTCATAAGCTTTGATGCATAAGGCTAAAATTACTCACATACATACACAGTTAACTAAGCGTTTCGATAAAACTATTTCTTAGAAAATAATAGGTACGTCCTCTCTCATTATTAATAAATTAAGACGCTTATAAATTAGGAATGCGTATAAAAATTTAAAATACCCCGGCGAAAGTCGCATAACGTCCACCCAACAATGTTGCCCGTTCAGAATGTATATTATTACGTATGCATATGCATATAAATAATTTATAATTTTTAATTTTTTCTACGTATTTATAAACTTTACATGTGTTAAAAACTGTACATATATAGTTGTGTGCTAGGTATACTTCATTTACTTTCTCTAGTGATGTGCCCCTTTCAATGTCTTGGATGCGCCCTGGCAAAATCGTAGGTAGGGAGAAAAAAGCTCATTAAACTCTCGGCTCTTGTTCATTAAACATACTTTTTCATACAGTACCTGCCAAAAGTTTTGTTCAATCATGAATAGTAGTGCTAGTCGAAAACAAGCGTTAAAGCCTTTAATATGTCTTCAAATATAAATAAACATCTCGTTGATATTTTCAGTAGTAATTGGTACCAATAACAGCACATTTGAGCAATGTAATTGGAGTGAATAAAATGGTCAATTTTTCCGTGCAGTACTGTACGGATTATACGCTCCTCGCCGGTTAAGAATTTGGCCGAGAGTTGTCTCCTTTCTTGTCTGGCCTGGTGCTGTTCTTTTCTACTTTGCGCCGGTCAAACTAAAGGTCACATCGCTAGAGAAACTATAAACGAAGTAAATGTGGATGTTTCATTCTAGTCTTCTGTAACTAACGAGGAGAGAAAGTGCTAACATCCTTATAAAGAAAAACACTTATTAAGAAGATGTAGGTAATACTTAGCACCTGAATCATTCTATGGGAAAATATAGTTTCTAACACAAGAATCATCTTATTCGGCAAGGCTTTCCAAGCCGCTATCATATACCGTATGCGAAAAGTCTATCGATACTACTAGGAGTCGGTCACGATTGCAATATTATTTGATCTCATCAGCACGCCACAAGCAGTTTCGTTAAATCTGCGACGAAAGCAAAGTTGCGACCTTAAAGTAGTATATTACACGGAGAAAATGAAAAAGGAAGATTTACCTAAATATTAAGAAAACAGTATTTTTCTTTCTTTCTACTCGTGCAGTTTTGAAGATGAATCAGTCTCTTATGTTCACAAAGTTTGTAGACGGTCTCACGAACTTGTCAAACTGAATCTACAACGCAGCGTGCTGATGAGACCTGATAAGTTCGAAATCGCAATCTTCGTCTGGTGATTGCTGACCAAAGACTTTTGTTCTCAGTAACATTACTTCTTAGCAAAAGACTTCCGGATAATGAGTTCTGTTCTCATGTATTTGTCACAAAAACTGAATATACGCCAGATATATATTAGGTCACAAGGAACAAGTAAAATAATATAAGTGTATTTACGATAATTTCTGAGGGTAGGTATTAGAGAGAGTAAATACCTGCTTTTACTGGAAATAGTCTTAAAATACCTACCACAGGTACTAGAATTCGAATATTTTTTTTGTGGTTCATTGTGCTAAATAAATTCTGCATTTTGCTCGTATACGTGTCGAGTTAGTCGGTGCACACGCATAAATTTACATATTTTTAGAATAGTGAAAGAGAGAGACTAGGGCCGAAACGAAATTGGCCTGAGACTTAACAATGAGCTTATCGTAATGGTGTATTCGTATACCAGGTATAATGGTACGAACAACGTGCAGCTATGCGTTACCAATTATTCTTCTATCCTATTGAAAGAAGATTACTAGAACAGAACAACGCGGACAATTTATGTTCCTATAAAACTTATGAGGTATTCTTGTCGTGTCGTACGGAACGGGTTCACTTAATTTCGATATCGAGGTTTTCAACGTTCCGGAAAAGGGAGGGTTACTTTCGATATTGTTATTGACCTTTCGCAGACTCAAAAATCATATTTTCTAAACTTTTTTTGACGTGACAACGTCTTATAATTCGATGGAGCCGGCTGCACGCACGAAAAAACATGACTCATGCGGCGTTACCTCGCTCTGAGGCGTTCCATTTAAGGCTTGAAGTGCAAGCGAGAGCGCGGAACGAGCGACAAAGAGGCACAATCGGCCTCCGCGTTCGGCAGCGTTCGACATCTGTCTCTCTCC